TACAATGTGCTGAGAACCCTTAATTCCCACCAACAAGAGCAGCAGCTTAGGGTGTTCCCAGCAGGCATTTAATAGGATTGTACCCTTACTTCATTTGGCTGGGGTAAGTCCAGGCCAACCAGGTGAAGCGACAGTAATCAGACAAGACAGGATAATGACAAACAGGGTACATCCCAGCAGGAATGTTACTACTTGCAGATGATGGAACATACCCCGGTGTGAAGCCCCTGTAAAAATTAAGGCCAGATTTAAAGGTGCGCTTTTATGGGTTAAATTTCTGCCTTTAAGAAAGGTCCGCCTGTACTTACCCTGTGCAAAAGATCTGTAAAAGGCAACATGAATCCATTATCAGCCCATACCGTCATCCTGCATGAACAAGTGACAAAGCTCTCACCCGCACTTTGGTCCCAAGGACTTTAGTGATTTAGATGACCTCATGAGGGCGGTCTGTCCTACAAAGGCAGATGGCATTTCATCCAGTGTTTGGGAAGCATAAAGCTTGAGTAGAGTCATTTCAGAGAAATTTGGGTTCTGAAGTTCCCTGTGCAGCATTCTTGGTGTGTCTCATGAAATAGAACAAGATTTGAGGTTGACAGATGGAGACTTATCAGTAGGACCTCTTCCCCTTCTTATATACCTGCAGCTTAATAAGGGAGAAGACTGTTAGATGCAATCAGAAGATAATAGACGTTGTAATTTGGCTTATGATGCTTCTCTTAGCAGAGATGAAGGTAGAAATGGTAGAAATGGTGTTCTTTTTTTTTTTTTTGTATGAAGAAGCATTATGAAAGGGAGAATGAGAAAGGAGCATGGTATTATGTTAAGCACTTTTGGGAGAGTGAAAAGTTAAAATCAATCTCTGTGTTGTCAGACTCTTAAGTGAGGAATGATGCATTAGACTACCTGACTTTATTTGATTTGTTGGGAAACCAGAGCTGCTGTGCTGTTTCTTGAATGGAATTACAAGCTTCATTTGAAGAGAGATGCAAAGAACACACATCATTCTGGAAGAGATCAACATAAGCGTTTTCTATATCATGACTAATGTTTACTGGAAGAAATCAAATTACTGTTACACAGACCATCTGTTTTCTTTGCATGCAATCATGTAAGTGTTTTAGGACAAGCCATCCTATTTAATCAATTGTAAATCTTTTATGAGAAGGCACTGTTTTCTGTAATAAAATCTATTTTTATGATAAATGTAAGAGTTTTAAATACTGTTTCTTCTGCATAGATAATAGTGTACATATTGTTCATAACATAAAGCGTAGGAGTGTACAGCATTAGTTATTATCTGTCAAGAACTTAATTTTAGGCCATTTGGGTAGCCATTTTTGGATATTTTTTGGATCTGCAGCTCATTGGTGTTGAACTATTACAGCAAGTAGCATAATGAATAATATGGTCCATTTATAGCTGTTGAAGTTGCTTCCTACCTACATTTGGTAAATATATTATATAGGGTCTCTATTTTGTAGCTTGCCTACCACGGTAAAATTGAATACTGGGGAAGATAATTGCTCATTGTCTAAATGCTTACACTTGGAAAGACCTAAGAAAAAAAGGCATGGCTTGTTGGAAGATTACTCAGTGTGATGCCATTAGAAAAATTTGAATTTATAGTCTAAGAAGAAGCCAACAATGGAGTGTGAGATTTGCTTCATGTTTAAGGGTAGCACATTCATGCGTATATATGATCCTGTTCATTTTAGTGCATTCTTAATTGAACCTGCCTATTGGTTATTTTTTTTTATTATTATTTCTGGCAGCTTCCCTTTTTTGTGTATTGTGTTTGGGTGCACATAGTTGCTCTTGAATTCAGCGGAAGCTAAAGGTCTGCATTTTAAACAGTCTCCTCTGATTTCAAAAGAAGCTGTGTGCGCACAATACCAGAAGTTGCTCTGTATTGTATCAAATGCCCCTGAAATAAAAGAAAGGAACAAGAACTGTAAGTAACACAACTGGAAATTCCCTGAGAAGGTTGGCTGTCCTTTTCAATGAGGTCAGCAAGCCTGGATTTCATTTGTTCAGACACCTTCAAATCAATAGTATTTTGTCTGAATAATTAGCTGCTTACTCAGGCTTGAAGAGTGTAGGGTGCTAAATTCTTGCTTTTTCTTGGGTAAACATGAAGAGGCAAAGAGGGAGAAACAGATGGAGTGTGCACCTGGAAAAATGACAGTGACTACACTCTGGTGCCACCCCATGGTACAGGGGAAGCTTTCTGTCCAGGGAAATATCAGGTGAAGGCCGGAGTTGAGATCTCTGTGTCTTACCTCACTTATTATAGTGTCTGTTGGGAATTGCCAGTATGTGGCACAGGAAAAGCTGCCTACCAAACTGTGCTAATCAATCCCAGCACCTACCTAGACTTGAAGCTTACCTAGATCAGTCAAGAATCTGATGAAAACTAGGTTGTCAGTTAATCTTCTTTTATCAGTCTGCATTAATTCAGTAAAAGAAAAAAAGCAGAACAAAGTGAACAGCTTACAAAATCATATAAGTAATAGGGAGTGAAAGATAAAACAAAGCATAAAAATGCAATTAGTAGTGGTCTAACAGTTTTACCCTGTTCACAGTATTTTCTATTTAAATTCAGCCCCTCTTCTTTCAGAAAAGTATCAAATGTGAGATAAATTGTTTAGGTTTTTTAAATTGTTTTTTTCCTTTTACTTCCGCCCTTCTTTTATTCAGAAGGAAGAAAACTGTAGGCAAATTGAGTATTTCATAGAATCACAGAGTCATGTTCATTAGAACAGATCTCTGGAGGACATCACCAACGTCCTAGTCCAAGTGAGAGAAACTTAGGTGATTCACCAGCCTCTCCTGGCCATCTGTTCCTCAGTCTTCCTTTTTTTGCTGATTTTTCCCTAGAAGCTCATCTAGTTGCTCCTCATGTCCATCACGAGCTTCAAGGTCAGCTGAGGTCTGGCTTCCCCACTTTCATCCAAGCAGGTCAGAACAAGGAAGTTCTGCCCACTTCCAGAAACTTCATCCTCTGTTTGTCCACACTGCCCTTGTGTTGTGCCTGCTTGACTTTCCATGTGGTGAGCTAGGAAGTCTCTATTATCTTGGGAGGTTGTCCTCAGCAAGCAGCTTGCTTTTCTGGGCCCCTTTCCTGTCTTGGTTTTCAGGAGGCACATTTCAGTTTGAGCTATCAAAAACATTGATGCAAATGTTGGGTTTAGATTTTTCAAGTTGTCCTTCTTACTTCCCACCCTTCTATCTTCACATCCCCAAATCTTTTTCGGCAAGATAAAGCAGTGTAATCTGACGGATATGAAAATATTGAATTTTCACAAGGCTTTCTTTTTTTAGCATGATTTTTTCATTTGTATGTGAGTGAATTTACTACAGGTGGGGGTTTTTTGAAGTGTTTGTTTAGAAGTTGCCAAGTATTTAGACTTTTTGGGGGGGAATTTTTTTTCAGCCAGAACTTTGGAGCAGTCACCGTGAGTTCTCCAACAGCTTCAGTAGAATAGGCACAATGATTTCCAGTTGTATGGTTTGTTTTTATCCAAGAGAGATGTATTTACAATTGTCATAGAACATATTGGATTAGTTCCAAGAAAGGTAAATGCTAACACTGCTGCTTGGAAATTATCATAATTTTATTATTAAGAAATAATTCAGCAAAATGACTTCATTTGCTTAGTGGTAAAGAGGGTGGTAAACTATGAATTACTGTTGTCATGGTTACAGTATATTTTGATATAGTATCTGTGTTCATCTAAGCAGTAATAAAATAATTTGCTCAATGAGCAATGAGAATGAATGTCTTGAAATAAAAGTACAGAACCCCTCACTCCATTTTAAGTGGGGTAAGTAGAGAATATTGCTGTTTAAGAATTTCCTGTGTCTGCAGTGCTGATTACACTGAAGCGGGAATCAATGACAAAGTGCCATATAGGAGACTTTATTTATAGTAGCTTTATAACTGATCTGAAGTGAGACAAAAGGTAGAAAAATCTCTGAAGAGAGGTTTCTAATTTCACCTCCAAAGTTACCCCTTGTGAAAGTCCTTTGTATTTTAGGTTTTGTGAGGATATTAAAATAATTACCCATTCTTGGTTGGTTTCTTTTTTTTCTGAATTATTCCATTCTCTTGGCTATTCGGTTGACAAATCGGAAAAATTATTCAGCGGAGCTCTGAAATCCTCAAAGCTAGACATTTGCCCATTTCTGCTTTTAATAATGTTCCTAAGTGTAGTATGTTTTGGAGGTTGTGCGTTTGCTTTTCTGCACTTGACCTGTGGCAGCCCAGTGGTCGCAGAGGATGTGATTCGTGTGTGCGTTCTGAATTCTCCTCTTCCATTTCTCTACCACATGCAACAATTTTTCTGAAGGAAGTGCAACAGAAAAATGCCATAGGTGATTATCATGCTTGACTTTGAACTGGTCTCCCACAGATCATTTTGTGGTACAGGGAGGAAAAGAGGGAAACAGAAATACTTGGTCACCATTCTGAAACCTATTTAGGTCTGACCTGCTTATCCTTAAAGAGAATAAGTCTATAGGTATTCAAAAAATCTGCAAAATGAATGAATAATCTCTAAGGAAGATATTCTGGAGTGAAAAAGAAGTAGAAAAGATAGTTTAGAGAAGGTACAGGAAAGAGAGTATGTGTAGAATGATGGGTTGATAGCAACTTTAAAAATAAATGCATTTAATACTGATGAAAGAAAAACTCACTTGAAATGTGCTCAGTTAACTAGCAGAATTGATTGATATAAGATACCGTTGAGTAAAACACTGGAAACTCTCCTCACACATATTATTTCTCTACAGATAAATAGGGCAGCATAAAAGATTCTGATACTAAGCAATGATCCCCCTAGGCTGCTGGTCTGGAAACCATCTCTTGGGGTTTTTATTCCTCAATATTGGCTACTTTTGAAGTCAGGAAATAGGGACTGCTTGAATTATAGTATGATTTGAAATTATTTTTTCAGTGCCTTCATATGCCACATTTGGTCTCTATATCCTCTCTGTCACAGGAAACCATCTTACACCCAGAGCAAGAAACATAAATTCGCTTGGCTGTCCCACATCTCTAAGGGACCTGATGCATGAGTGGACTAGAGAAAGGAAAGAGAGAAAAACTCCAAGGACCTACAGGTCATCTTGCTGGCAGGGTGAGTAAATGTCCTAGCATTTCAGTTTTGTGTTGTCAGGTTCACAATGAGTGATTCTGCTTTAAGCATTGCCTCAGGAATTTCCCCTCCAGTAATTTTTGAGAAAAAGATGATAAAAAATGTCTCCTGTTCCTAGGTCTCTGACACTGGTGCCCCCATATGTTAAGAATTACTAAGCCAGACACCTCCTATATTCTCAGTTTAAGCCTTGAACATGGATTTATGTCATGGGGTCTTTAATACATGTTGTGTTCTTAAGGCCCTTTTAAAATTGGGTGGGTGAAACAGAATTATCTACCTATTACTGAATCAGTCCAAACTCCTCATGATTCAAAAGACATTCGAAAGAGGAAAGAAAGGAAGAAAACTCATTTTCCCTGTTCTGACAACACTTACACTCCTACAGATCTGGGCCTGTGTTCCCTGCTTTCCCTAGGCAATTTTTTCTTGCTTACAAAACGCAGTGAAAAATATTACCTAGCAGAGAAGTAAATGTGTAGTTGACTTATGTGATAGTCAGAACCTAATTATATGATCCCCTTTTCTTGCTGGGTTTGCCTTTTCCAAAAAGTGGTAGAGACAGAGACCACAGTAAAGTGTGGAGTATTTCCTCCAGTTCATAGCAGTGAGCCAGGAGGTCTGTCAAATACCAACAAGCCAATCTGGCAGATTCAAGAGTCCCATGTACAGAGGATGACTTCCTTTTCAAAAAGATGACCCAAATCAAAGCAGATTACTACCATGGCAGAAAATCCAGAAAAAAAACCTGAATATTCTCTCGGAGTCCTCCATCTGGTGGTTCGTGTCTCTATAAAAGACGTAATACAAGTGTTACCCTCCTCCACTGAGAAGGCTAAAAGTCCCTCTGAGTGTGTGATTCCCCACTGTATTTGGTCCTGCCTGTTTCTGTACCCTAAACATTGGCAGGGTCCATCTGCTTCTGTCTTCTCTGCTGGGGCAAAAAGGATGAGCTGAATGAACAGAGCAAACCCATCCTCCCTGTAACCCAGGCCCAGCAGACACTTTTATTTTAAAGAAAATATAGAGCAGCTGAATTATGGTTTTAGCTGTGTGACAGCCCACCTCAGCTAGGAACCTTAAGGCAATTTTCGAGAGCATGCAACACAACAGAACTAAACAAAGGGTGCTCCGGAGGGCAGGTACTTTTCTGCCAACAGCTCTCTGATATGCAATGCAATATCTACCATGATAACAGTGCCTTTACAATTGCTACTAGATGATGTGTTTAGTATAATATTAGGCTGTTTTTCTTAGCATACAATCAATGTTTCAACTTTGAATGTCTGCTTTTTCCTACTAGACGCTCTTTGAGGGGATCTGTGTAAACATGAGGGCTGTCTGGACTTTGCCTTACCCTCCAGTTAGAGGAAGGGGAATTTTGATGGTTTTGCTGTTTGGTTTGGTTTTTTTTGTTTTCAGTAAGTACTGCTCTGAGTGTGCTGAAAGATTATGTGGGTGCACAATTTTTTTACAGAAATCAGGTTATTCCTTTGCCCACTTTGAACACAGTGGCAACAGCAGCAACAGCCCTGCTCCCAATTGCTGGATTCTGGAATCCATAGGAAAAGGTGTTCAGGGGCTGGGGAGTCACCTTTCTGTTCTAGCATCTGTTTCTTCCCTCCTTGTGGAGCAGATAAATCATGTGGGCACAGGTTTGTCCATACTTCATAAATGACACAGTGTATTCTTCAACAATGTATTTACACTCTCTTGTTTTAATACAGCAGTGAAGTTTCTGAACCACTAGTTACTTCCCCCTTAGTTCTACTTTATTTTATATAGTACCTGTGAAATGGTTTGGAGACAGGCTTGATGTCCATTGACATAGTGTTGCCATTAAGTGAGGGCCAGTATGACTGAGAACAATAAAGGTGTTCAGTAAAAGTGTCAACGCAGTTGAAGATTAAAGTTAATATTATTTCTATTCCTAAAATCATTTCTGTGTGTATTGCTTTTGCAATTCACATATAAAATAAAATCATCCTCAAACTCAAATCTTATTGAAGCTTCATAAACATTACTACAGGGAAAATAAATAAGTTGGTAAATGATTAAATGTATAATTAAAGGTTTCACATTTAATCCGTCACTGCAGTGATTTATGGTTTCCATTATTTTGTCTAAGTAATGCACTTCCTTTTTTCCAGTGTTTTTTCTTTCCTTCATTGCTGTTAGTGTCTGTAATCTTATTGTAAGGAAATTTATCACAAGGACAACTTTTTGTCCTCAGCTGCAAGGTACAGAGGAGAATTAAATAAAAGCATAGAAGATGCAATATGCTTCCTCCTGCAGTTGGTGGGAAAATTGTGAAGCATTTACAACATTGGGCCAGAAATGCTTTATGTTTAAGAACAAAGGGCAGGATCTAGTCTCTGTGCTTCTCTGCTGTCATATTTAGGGCTGAAACAGGTGTCTTCAGCAGCCAGTCCCAGGAAGGCTCAATAAAGGCATAAGGCTGGGACACACAATCTCCCTCTGTTGTGCATGCCAGGATTGGGTGGAAACCTGCAAACGCAGCAGAAACTGCCCTGAAGTAGCCCATAGCAAAAGCTGAGCACAGCCCTGTGCCTACAGGCTGCAGAGTTCAAGCTCTTCTCCAGAGGTAGGTTCCCGTAGCAGTTTTTTTCAAAAGGACTCATCAGGCTTTGTGGTTGTTATCACAGCCGTGGGAGCTCATCACTTGCGTGATGCTGAGGGCTCTTCCCTTCCTTGCCAAGTTGCCCAGCCACTGGGCTGTGCTATCGTCTCACAAGGCTTTCTGCCTGCTGCATGAAATTTGCAGCCTACTTCACTCTGGCAGGGCTGTAGTGGACCACTCTGCACTCCTATTTTCTAGACCAGTTCGTAGTTCTGCTGGAAAGTGGGTGTCAACACCACCTCAGGGTGGGCAGAGCCTGGAAACAAGATTCCTCACACCCAAGTGAGAGCTCTAGCTGTATGCTTGGGTAATACCTCTTCTAGCTGTAACCTAGAAAACAAGGGTGTTTTCCAAGAAGTACAAATTTGCCTGTGTCTGTTAGGTGTACTTTGAGCAGATCTGAAATTTTGGCTTAGGTGTTGTTTCAGGGTTGTGGTGGGTCCTAAATTTGAGATGAGCACCTTGTTGCTGAGGTGGAGATGTTTGTGGGACTTCAAAGAATAAGAGTGAGAAAGAGCTTCAGGAGCCACTGTACAAGTGTGTTCCTGTGGCAGTTTTCATATTCAGACATGTACATTTGTATGTGGTCTGAACTTCCTCTTGACCAAGAACCCATCTACATAAGTAAAATTTCTTCTTCTACCAACATATGGTACTAAGATTCTCCTCTTAGATTGGTTTCACACAGGAATTGCTGTTCTTTTCCAGACTATTGCAGGATGAAATAGCTTGGGGTTTATTTCTGGTTGGGAGTTTAAATTCACACCCTTGTTAACTTCACCTAGAGCTGTTAACCAGAGCAGAAAAAATATGTTGTCTTGTCTTCACTGTTTTACCCTAAATATGGTGTATAGATGCACTTACTGACAGTTCACAGCAATGTTTAATATGGTTTAATTATGCTCTGTTGAAGGTATTGTAGTTTATGTTCTCCATAGTATTGTATAATGTTACTGTGTTTCTTCTTATTCTTTGTCTTGCTAAAAGTATTTGGGCCATTTTGTTTTAATCCTCTGCAATAATCACAGCAGAAACTTCTGAGAAGAGATCTTTAAAGAATTGTGGCAAAATAAAAGAGAATAAAAGTGAGTTTTCTTGAGAAATGGTTATGTAGAAAAGGACTTCTGTTTTCTCTTTTGTAGTATGTCTCTTAGTCTTTTGGACAAGTTTTTCATTGGCCTAATATTTTTCAGCTGTTTTTTCTTTTTTGTTGTTTCTTTCTTCCTTTTTTCTTTTTTTCTGTCACAGTATTTTAAGAGAGGTAACAAACAAAAACATGCTGTTCCAGGAAGTTATAAGAAGTCATAACTCCAGTACTGCCTTTCTTAATATTGTTTGTGGATGACATTACTGCTTTATGAGCAAATGTGTGTTTGTTTTAGGGAAGGACATATTCCTATGAAACTTTGTGATTTTTTTTTTCTTTGAGTGATAGCAGCTAATTTAAAATTTAGCAATCTACAAGAGAAGTTCCTGTTACTCTGATCACCAGACCTTTAATTTGCAGCCTGGCATTTTCCCTGCCATCACAGTTCCAATTTGGATCAGAGGTCCCTCAAAATTTCCTAACAGTTTTCTTCAGGTCTGGATAACCTTAGTAATGGTTTGTCATTAGCATTCCTTCAAAATAATAATTAAATGGATTAATAATTGAATGTATAACAAATCCATGCCTACAGAGGTACTGTGTTTTACCCTCTTATTGACATCTTGCTGTTGTTGAAAGGCCCTTAGTGTAACTCATTTTACAGGTACAAAATATAAGTGTAGTATAAGCTACCCTTTAGGATGGGTTGGGGTTGACTGTATTTCTAGTCTTGCACTGGGAAGCACAGGTGTAGATCACCTCACAGTGAGCTGAATGGTCCCAGTGATTTCAGAGGCCTTCCTTGTGTGAGTTGGAGTTTAAAGAGTGCAGCATTTGTTTTCCTCATGAGAAGCTTCCAGAAGAACATTGCTGTGTCCTGCTATCCATAATATTTAGGCTTGTCTGTGCTTAGGAGTAAATGATTTTTATTTCAGAACTGTTATTTACATGCTTATTTTGACAACACTCTGGTGGTTGGTTTTTTTCATTTATCAGACAAATGTCGTCTTTTCACAGTAGACTGAACAGCTTTTGCTTCTTCTGAGCCATAGAAACCTAGCATGTTAATTCCTTTGAGTTTGAGCATTACTGCTCTTTTACTGTTTATGATCAGAAGTGTTAGCAAGACGCTTGGGGTAAACTCTTTGCTGGATTGAAACGGCACAGGTTATTTGAAGTCAACTGGTTGAGCTGTTCCAGTGTACAGCAGTGAGGAACTTGGCCCCTGGTCCAGAAGCCAATGGACTATAGTGG